TTTGCAGTTAAACTTTTTTTTAATTTTTATCATGCATAGGTGTATATACAAACCACCTTTCCACCTACAGCATCCAATTTGCATAAGCAGAAGTGAGAAAAATGAGTTTTAGGTGTATCACTCACACACTTTTCAGCACAGTACATCTTGACCTCAAGAACAAAAAGAATGTTGTTTTGGCTTTGTTGTTTCCAAAAACTCACTCAAATGTCTCCAAGAGCCTTCACCACCCACCTACAGTGAGGATACAAGCACAGGTCTAGCCCCATCATTACGTAGCTTCTTCATCACTTAAATACCCACTAGAATTCCACAGTGAGGAAGCACCAAGACAGAAGGAATAACTGAAATGTTACACAAAAACACAACATGCCTGGAGAGCTTTGGTTGTTCTATGCCAAATTATTCTTACTGTATCCCTGAATTTATAACAGGTGGCACTTCACAAGCAAAGACTGTTTAAGCTAGTCACCTGGTTTAATCTAGAACTGGATCCAAGCACAGGTCTTGTAATTAATACATTACCTGCAGCTTTGCACAATCATTTATTTAAAGGTGAGTTTGAAAGACTGATGTAAGAGGACTGATTTTCAGATAGGAGAAGTTATCATTAAAACAACAACCTGCAATCAACTCACATCAGACACCCGGAACAGATCTCAGCTTTCTTCCTCTGAGCTTGAAAACCCACCCCATCCTGCTGGGCTATGCCACAGGCTCTGCATGGGCTGGGTGTGCACAAGGCTGGTGTGGGCAGCATCCCTGAGGCAGCAGTGCCACCTGGATCCCTCTCCATATCAACATGTCACATGTCTCCATGTCTCCCTCATCCCACAGGGAGTCACAAGCCATGTTACACACATGCACTTGGCAGATTTGGCAGTGCTGAATGCAAATCATGGCACCACAGCACTCATGTACCACTTTAGGGTTAGCCGAACAGCGAAATTTGGAACCAAGACTCTCAATTTCTACACACAGGTTTTGTTTCCCTGGTTTTACAATTTTTTAAAGCCAAAATCACTGCCAGTCATTTAGTGCCATAGAACTGTACATGTGCACACATACACACTCATATACACAAAGTACTTTTCCTTACTTTGTCAGAGAGGCAGCTGAGCTAGAGAAAGATACTGACACACAGCTGCTCTAGCCCACAGCAAAGTGCAGTGCTTGGAAATAGACACCACAGCTCAGTCTTCATAACCAAAACACATCACTAAGGGTGTGTTTGGGAAGAAATCTTAGGCATCCTCAATCTGCCTTCCTTCCCACAGTAGCAAACCACAGTAATCTCAGGACTGAGTGAAGACTTCGTTGGTTTTGGAGTATGTTTTGAGGAACATTTGGGCTTTGTCAGCAACACAGACAAAAGAAGGTGAAATTGAGGCAGTTTGAATGCTTGTCCTCAGCTATAAGCACCCACCTTATGACTCTGAAGTCCAGCAAAAACTCCCTTTCTCTGTTTCTGAAGGCACATTGATATTTACCCCTGTACATTCCAAGTTAGCCATAATGCTGCTGCCTGCTTTATCATTAATTAAAGTTACAAAATGCAAAAAAGAAACCAAAACCATTACATACTTACAACACTGTTTAAATTCAAAAGTTAAGGTGCTTTTACCCCATTAGGCCTCTGTTGGGGGGAAAAAAGTTCCTGCAGGCAGAGGGTCAGAGTCTGGCCAGCCAGCACCACCCACTGCTTTCTAGCACATTGTTTGAGCTCTGAAGACTCTTGGCTGCAGCACATTGCACAGCCTTTATGCTTGATCATTAAATAAAACCACCTGTCAACACTGTACCCTGACAGCTCTGTAAAAAAAATATATATTTGAAAGGCACATCTTGGGCAGGAAGCATGCCTCCAAGAACACCAGCACTACTGCTGTGTACTTCAGAGAGCAGACACTTGTTTTATCCAGCATCTCTAGAGCTTCAAAGAGCACCTGCTTCACCTCTACAATGCTGAAATTCCAGGTATTAAACAATATTCCCTTCTTTTACAAGTCTGAACATTATTAGATTCCAGGACTCCTTATTCATCTTCTGTCTTAAATATCAATACTAACACTATTTGTGGATATCACTGAACAGTAATTGCCTGCTTATTGTTCAAGTAACTTCAGACTTCCAGATATGTGATTTCTAAGTTTACCAAGAAAAACAAGTCTGTTTCAAAATACTCTTCAAATTACTCAGGGCTCAATGTTAGAAATACATATTCTTCCAAATTTACTTATGTGTACAAAATATCGGCCAAAATATAATCACTTCTCTGAAGACAGAGGAGTAAATCCGCACTTTCCAGGTAAGTGAGAAAAGCAGAATGAATGCAAAATGCTAAAAACTACACATTTGTCTGTTGTAATAAAGTGCAAATTTTTTTATTTATCATGCATGGGTGTATATACCGGTTATTAAAAATTAATTAAAACCGTTTCATCCTTACTCCAGTCTCTACTGGACACTTACACTGGGTAGACTAAAGTATCTAGTCCTAACTTACACATGAATAGAGGAAGATGCAGCCCCATGGACTACAAAAACCTGAGAATTCTTGGGTTAATGTGTAAAAAGAGACAGATAGAAAGAGCTGTTGAAAAACAAAGGATTTTCAACTTAAGTTTACTATTCTGATTGGAAATGGAAGTGGAACAAATGTTGATTTCTTTCTAACTTCCATAGCAACCCACTCACACTGAAGTTATGTGACTCAGAAGCTGTTTTCTTTAAATGCAGCCATATGGCTTTTAAACACTTTTGGTTCTATGCCCAGATACAGAATCACTATTTCTTCATTTTATTGTCCTGATACATACCAAATAACCAAAATGTATAATTAATACAAATTTTACTCAAATTAATCAAATTATATTTCTCAGGTTCCTCCAAGGCATGCCCAAAGGGCTTCACTTTTTACTTTAGAAAAATAAAGCATTAACAGAAACTCACATTAAAATTACAGATATGCCCAGAAACCTAGCTTTTGCAATTTTTAAATACCATGTGCATGTAATTATGCCAAAAAATACTTGTTCCTTGTTTATAATTTACTATTTTATTGCCATTAAAAGTTCACATTTCTCAAGTGAAGGTTCAAGCCATGCACAGCAGTTGCTGTAAATGTATACTCAAAAGTCTGCACTGTACTTCTATCAGAGTAGAGTACAAAGTCTACAAAGACTGAAACACAGCCAGTTTTATTATACTAGACATGCTTAGAGGTACTTAATATTCAAAAGCTGGATTACAACTTAATAAAGTTATTTAAAATCAAAGCAAAATAACACTATCATGGTCCATAATCCCTTTCCACTAAGGGTTACTCCTAATTTTAGGAAGATGTAGAGGTACTTAATATTCAAAAGCTGGATTACAACTTAAAGTTATTTAAAATCAAAGCAAAACAACACTATCATGGTCCATAATCCCTTTTCACTAAGGGTTATGCCTAATTTTAGGAAGATATTTTGCATCCTAGAGTTTTGTCATAGTAGTTTAATTTTTCTAGAATTCGATAGTTAAAATTTGGTAATTATAAGAAAACAGAAACACAGAACTACATGACTAAAGGTCAGCTCACAGATCAAGGCTATCTTGTCATCAGCCAGAAACCCACAGAGAGTTTAGAGCCACATAAAGAATATTTCCCAGTACAGGTGCCCTCACATCACCCACTTTGAAAACAAACTCAAGATGCTGTATCTGTGTTTCTTTCCAATGCCATTCACCAGTATTTCATAAAACTGAAAAATTTACCATACCCATTCACATTTTAGCACAATACCACAAAATAGCCAGTCCTCAAATACATCAAATACATACATTCCAATTCAATGACCACAATGTCTAAATGGAACTTTAGAAAAGCAACATCCCTTTTTGTACAAATCCAATTTATATCACAGAAAAGCTGGTTACTACATGCAAAAACACTCATGACACTTTCCTGCTAAAGTCCTAGACAGGCTGCCAGGATCTGTGGAGGCAACACACAGAAATTCCACAGAAGTTTCCAGCAGAACTGCAGTGCACAGTTTACATCCAATTCCTACCTCTAGAACTGCACCAAGCAAGAATGAACACCATTATCCTTCCAACAGCCAAGAACTCTTCCTGTATCCCAAACTGCCTGAGGAAATAGACCCAGCACAGGCTGCACGCACTGACCAGCATCATGCTTGTAGCCAGAGAACAGAGAGGCTCTAGCAAAAACCATACAGCATTTTCCACACTTGAGGACTAAATTAAGGATGTGGAAATCTCAACCTGCAAGTAACATGTATGTCCTGAAGGCCTGATAAAGGAATTCCTCAAAAAGGAATGCCTATCCACTTCCCTTTAATTTCAGTGCCTCAGAATGACTTTTTTCCCCTTTCCCAGTTTGACACAAAACACAAACATCTTTTATTCTAAATGTATATTAAAAAGTACAATAGCCTGGTTTTACCTGTCTTGTTAGCAGCTCTCAGATCAGAAACAATGCTTCAATAATGCTTCATTTTTTCTAAATTGAAAACCTAAGAAGACATTTTCTTTTGCCTGTCTGCATCCCTAAAGCTGTTATTATGCACCACCATCAGTGAGTGAGGCAGGAAAACAACAGAGAAATTATTTATAGCATGGTCACAAAAGCCTTTCTGAATATTGTAGATATCACAGCCAAACAACACAAAGTATCCATGTCTATAATCTCTTAAACAGCTACTTCTCCACACCTAGAGAGCCAACAAGAGATACAAAGGGAGATTTATTTCAAGGCACACTTCAATCACTGAGCACATGAAAACAGATTCAAGCACCTGGATAATCCCTGAAGGCACCAAGACATTTTCCAAACAGAATCATACTTCTCAGCTGAAGTCCTTCAGATTTTTATATCCCTATTTCTTGTCAGCTGTTCACACAAGTTCAGCCCTTGATCATACAGCCTTCTTTCTCTAACCAGTGCTATGCAATACCATGCCAATAGCAAATTGCAGAAAATGATCTTCACTTACCTTGCCCTTGTCCACTGATCTGGTGACCCCACAGCATCAGAATCACTGCCAATATCCAGAGCATCGTCCCTGCTACTCTGCCACTTCCTTGTCTTCCAGCCATTGCATTATTGGATGCTACACAAAGAAATATTATTGAATGCTTCAGTTATAACTCTTGGGAAATATACCTTTGGGTGAAGGAAAGCAAAAAGCTCCCATAAATTTCCTCAGTACACATCTATAACTCTACTTTAATAAATACTCAGTGGCAAAAATGCTTTTTCATTCAGAATCTCCCTGACTGTTTGCTCAAGACTGTCACCTCATAGGCCACTACAAAATCAAAATAAGCTGCTTTGAAAATGCTTGAATTTTCCTTTCATACAGAAAGCCTGAGCTTCACAAAAAAAAAAAAATCAACAAACACCAAAAAAAAACCACACACACACCACAACACCCAGATCCAGCCAGGCTTAAAAGACTTGAAGAAGCAGCACTTCACTGAGTCTCCTAGAAGTCTTATTGTATAATATAGAAAACTTCCTAAGGCAAAGCCTGTCAATTAATTTAAAACTATTTTTTTTTTTTTAATTTTGGGATTTAAAACATTGAGATGGGTCAGCAGTTGCTTCTCATTGTGGGCTTTCAGGGACCAACTAAATCTTCCAGTCACCACATTTTTCCTATTATAGAATGATCTGGGTTTAAAGCTCATCTCTTTCCAACTCCTTGCTATAGGGAGGGACACTTCCCTCTGGACCAGTTTGCTCAGAGCTCCATCCAGCCTGGCCTTGAAAACATCCAGGGATTGGGCAGCCACAGCTTCTCTGGGCATCATCACTTTCTGTCAATGTGATATTTTCTGAAAAATGACTTCGCCAGGATTTCTTCTCCTGGGAAGCTGAGAAGCCTCAGAAAAGAATGTAAATAACAATTATCTGATTCTCTTCTCCTGTGTTTGCTGCTTTGTGGTGTGGTCTGGACACTGTTTACCAACAGGTGCATCTTCGATCAGTTCCATGTGAATTGTGTTTTCTTAATGTCCAATCACAGCCAGCTGTGTCAGACTCTGAGAAGTCAGTCACAGGTTTATATTATTAATTCTTGTTAAGCCTTCTGATGTATCCTCCTTTCTATAGTTTAGTATAGTTTTAGTATAGCATTCTTTTAATATAATACAATATAATAATATAATAAATCAGCCTTCCAAGAACATGGAGTCAGATTCATCTCTTCCCTCATCCTGGCACCCTCACAAACACTGCAACTTTCATTGACAACATTTACTTATTTATTATTCCACACCACACCTCCTCTTATAGCACTCTGACTCAGATCTGCTCCTTCAGAAGATCTGTTTAATCAAATACTGATTTGTCAGAACTCTACCAATTACACAGGACTGGCTGGAAAAAATAGAATTTCATTTCTAGTCCAAAGCATAGGCAGCTATCCCAGAAATTGCTATATGAATATTTGGGAAATTTATCCAACGTGGGAAATCTTGCAGCAATAAGAAGTTTTTAAAAATGTGGTATTGTAAAAACTTCTTGTGTTTTTTTTTCCTACAAAGAGCTCTAATTCTTTTGTGAATAGAACAATTAAAAAATAAAAACAACTTGGAAAAAAACCCAGGGAAAACAAACTAACAGAAGGGTATGTTTACATATTGACTGATTAAGCATAATTTTAATGTTGCTATTGCAGTAATTTTTATTTTAAAAAAACCCTATTTTCTAAACCCATGGACGCAGCACCCATCCATAACAAAATCGTCAACTGAAATTACAATCCATAATTCTCAATTCTGATCTATAATCTCCAGTGAAAAATATCTATGCTTCATGCAACTTAAAACCACAGTATTATTTACAGAATAAAAACCTAAGGAGGACTACAAAAGCAGACATGTAAGAATACGACACTTTATTTTCTCCTTCTCTCACCTACCCCCACCTATAGAGGGAAAGGAGGCAGTGGAAGCTTCTGCAAGAGGGAGTTTTGGTTGAGTGGTTAAAGGGAAGGAAGGGGTAATTTTTCCTATTTGTTGTGACCCTCAGTCTTTCATTTAAATCAGTGCTCTAACCACCTGCCCAGGCACTTCCTGTAGCTGTTCAGAATAAAAATTGCTTTTTGCATCAAAACTGGTTGTGGAAGGTAACCCTTTTGCACAGAGGAACCTCTCCATTGTTGCAAACACCTCGATTTTCTTGTGAAGAGCTTGAGGTCCCCTAGAGCTGCTATTATTTCACCAAAAGAGTGCCCTCCCCAGCCAGCACACACAGCTCCTTTCTGTCCCCTCTCAGGCACAGGAAGGGAAGAAAGAAAGGATACTAAAAAGCTTTGTTTGTTTTGGCCTTGCCTTTTTTTGGACTATTTAACCCCCACAGGAAAGGAGAAGCAAACAACTGAAAATAGGAATTACAAAGCAAAAATATAGAACAATAAATACAAATAAATGTCCTAAAATATATGCACATTAGCACTGCAAGGTCATAGAAACAGTTTTGTAAAATCAGTATCTTGAAAAAGAGATATTCTGCTTCATGAATATTCTTTCCTTAAACTAGCAGACACATTCTTGATGCTCAGCCCAAGCAAACAGATGGTATTCAATTAGTTATTTACCTACTTTACAATTAATTAAAAAGTCCAAGATAATTTTTGTTTTGACTGTGTCTACAGAAAGCTAGATTTCCACAAAAAGCTGGCATTTGTATCTACAGCCCTGCTAGCTGTAATATAAATATTACAACTAAGAAAGCATTAAGATACCCAAAGACTTTATCCAAGGGCATGTAGGGATAGAAGAAGGGGGAATGTAAGACTGTAAGAGAGTAGGTTGAGATTAGATATTAGGAATAAATTCTTCACTGTGAGGCTTGAGACACCCTGGAAGAGGTTGCCCAGAGCAGCTGCGGCTGCCCCATCCCTGGGAGTGTTCAAGGCCAGCTTGGATGGAGCTCAAGCAACCTAGTCTAGTGGTGAGTGTTCCTGCACATAACACAGAGATGTTGGAACCAAATGATCTTTAAGGTCTCTTCCAACACAAACCATTCTGAGATTACATCAGAACCTCACCAGGAAACACTTAACTTTTAGAAAAGCTTTTTTTAGCTTGAAAGTTCATAACTAGTAGACAGAGGAAAACAGCCACCTTACTAAAAGGAAACCTAGACACCATATCCACAGTATTCCAATTAAGAACAAAAGAAGCAAAAACTAAGGTTTCATTTTGCATCTAAGAACCACTTTCTTCACAACACAGAAACCATCCCTAAAAGAAAAAGTGAGGCAGAAGAGGCTGCAGGGACTGGTGAAAGCTGCGCAACAGCACAAAACTCCAAAGAGAGGGAGCAACTCTAAGCCTTAAATAAATTATTCCTGCCATATTTCTTGTCTTCTATGAGATAATTTGTAGAGGGAAAGAAGAAAAGAACAGCACCAGACAAATATGTAATTGAAAGTTCAAACTAGCTCTTCCATTTCCCAAGGAAAATTCAACAGGAAACTTTTATTATAGCAGCAGAAAACAGCCTCGGATTCAAAACCATTAATCCCCTCTGACTCCTGAGTCTCACTTTTCACACAGGTGCAGGCAAACAGGTTTATCTCAGACAAACACATTTTTAAATTAAAGAACACTTCTTCTAACAGAGAAGTACATTACAGTAAAAAGGCTTAACTAGCAAGTCTGTAATTAACCTTTACAGCATTTGGGTTTACACTAGTGCTGCTTCAGCCCCTCGAATACAAGAATAAAATACCAAGGACAGAAGCAAGCCATAAGTATGTCAAATCAATAGGAACAGCAGGTGCAACAGGTCTAGAGAGGCAAAAGGAGGAAAAATATTCTTTTTTCACCCTTCCTTTAGTTAGCTTGTAAAGAGGTAAACAGAAATTACAATTATACCAAAAAAAATTAAATCAAGTTTTTGTTGTAGCAAGGCCTACTGAAGGAAAGCCAAGAGGTACACAAACTACATCCTCCAAAGGGATAAAACCAATTTATTAATCACTCTAACTCCACAGAGAAAAATCTAGTATTTATATTACCCTCCAAAGCTGCTACAACAGAAAAAAAGATACACTATACTAAGAGGGAAATAAAAACTTACCTGTAAATCTTCCTTCACTCTGCTCCTTCTAAACCAACAACTCTCCCTACACAAGCAGGAGAAAGCCCAGCTCCTCTCCCACACCCTTTATAGCCCATCCAACCAGGAATCAGCTGAATTAAATAACATCTCATCCTTAATGCAGCTGTGCTCAAACATATCCTGCTCCAAAACGCACATGGGGAGGGGAGGAATCATTAAAAAAACCAATCAAACAAACAAAACAAAAAACCCCCAGCTACCACTAGCCTCTATTTTACTCTCTGTTTTCCTCTACTATTTCTCTAAACCTGCAGGTATAACTTTAACCTATAAAGAGCCATGAGACTCACCAGCTTCACAGCCAAGAGAAAATAGCAAGAGGACCTTCTTCACATTTATTGACAATTAACAGCAACTAATTTAGAGTGAACCAGGTGCAGTCAGTTGGCAGGAAATCAGGGAACATGCATAAATCTGTCACATGAAGGACTCTAACAAAGTCTAAAGTTTGTTTTAGATGAGACTTCTGCTGAAGTAGTGTTGGCATGAAAAGCTGGGAGGCTTTCAGCTGCATTTCCAGAGATTTGTTGCCATCTAAATGGCACAATCCATTAAAATCCATAGGCTTTGCAGAATTTGATTTGTGGGTGGCAACAACTTTCATGTATTTTGCTTTCTTCCTGTTACTGCCTGGATTATTTTATGGTCTTTTGTCTTGTTTGAATCACTGAGTATATCAACTATGTAGATTCAAGTATCCTTTTTAATATAATTAATTTGTAAGTTTCTCTACAAAGCTATATATTTTAAAAAATATTTATTCTGTGCAAGCATACACTTCATAAATCTTTAGCAAATGACAAAAAAAAATACACCAGCTTCCTGGAAAATCATGGGCATGTCACTTGCCTCATAAAAGTGGAAGTTACCATTGCAGATGAAGTAGAATTTAGCCACTTAACTATATTTAAAAAACAGTTTTCCTCTCCAAACAGCGCCTATGAAATATCAGGCATAGGTAGTAGGAAGGGATAAATGGCTTCTCTGGCCATTGTTAATAAAGCCAGCCTCACATATCAGCTGGATCTCTCTGAAATGGCAACATGATACAGGAGTTTTAGCAGGAACATTAAATGTTTCAAATTATGCTGCCAGGCAAAGGGGAAAAAAAAGGGAAGGGGGAGAATCAAACTCCAAAATACTGATAAAAGATCACCAAACCCACAAAATATCCTATAAATATTTGGAATATTGATGTCTAATGAAAGTACAAGGACAGGGTAAACTTTAATAATACAGATTATAAAGTGGATGCATTTTTACATCCCTGAGACAAGACTCTGACCTTCCTTGCATGCACAAAAGTCTATGATACCAGCAGGGCTGTTTATATCCATGGAACTGAAATCAGAACCTGGTCTGATGCATTTAAAATAATTGAATTTATCACTCATGTCTTACTTTGCCTGTTAAAAAGACTGTATTTTTAACCTCATTTCTGTTAGTGCATTACCAAAGACATTGTGAATGCAAAGTCCCTCAGAGGGCCATCTGTGGAACCAGATACTATCTGATGAGGACTTCCCTGCAGTATCAGGATTGTTTTGCCTGTTTAATTCCAGATGCAACACAAGAGCAGAAAAAAAAGGTCCATACCACACCAGAGGTTTCCAGCACTGCCCTCGCTGGGCCAAAGCACTCCTGCTCCTCACTCCAAGCTGCCAGACACCGTCTTTGTGCACAGAAGGTGAACAGCCATGAGCTTCCACCCTGAGATGAACAGATAACATAGGATATCTGCCAGCCTGGAGGCAGCCATGGGTCGACTGAGATGGCAAATCCATTGCTGGAACACAGATTCTTGTGAGATCAGAACAGGGGCTTCTGCAAATCATGGAATCACAGAACCTTAGAAGGGTTTGGGTTTGAAGGGACCTGCAAAGGTCAGCGACACCTTCCACCAGACCAGGTTGCTCAGATCTCCATCCAGCCTGGACTTGAACATTTCCAAGTGTGGGGCAGCCACAGCTTTTCCTGTGCCAGTGTCACAACAACCTCACAGCAAAGAACTTCTTTCTAATATCTGACATAAACCTACTCTCTGTCATTTCAACATCATTCCCCCTTGTCCTGTCATTCCAGACCCTTCTAAATAGACTCTCTCCATCTTTGCTGTGGGCTCCCTTCAGGTACTGAAGGGCCAAAATTAGGTCACCCCAGAGCCTTCTCTGTTCCAGGCTGAACAATCCCAGTTCTCTCAGCCTTTCCTCCCAGCAGAGCTGCATCCATCCCTCTGATCCCATCGGTGCCTGCTCTGGACTGGCTCCAGCAGGTCCCTGTCCTTGCTGTGCTGGGAGCCCAGAGCTGGATGCAGCCCTGCAGGTGGGGTCTGAGCAGAGCGGGGCAGAGGGGCAGAATCCCCTCCCTGCCCTGCTGCCCACGGGGCTTTGGATGAGCCCAGCACACGGGGGGATCTGGGCTCCCAATGGCCAGGGCATGTCCAGCCCCTCACCCACCAGCACCCCCAGGTCCTTCTCCCAGGGCTGCTCTGGATCTGTCCATCCCCAGACTGGATTGGTACTGGGGACTGCCCTGACCCAGGTGCAGCAGCTTGGACTTGGTCTATTAAACCTCATGAGATTCCCAAGGACCAATTCTCAGGCTTTTCCAGGTCCCTCTGGATGGCATCCCATCCTTCAGGTGTGTCACTCAACTCACACCCCTCAGATTGGTGCCATCTGCAAACTTGCTGAGGGTTCACTCATCCACTCTCTGTGTCATTGATGATGTCTTCTTCAGTTCAGCATGCCTGCCTGAAACTTCTGTGGTGTAATTACAAACTTTCCAAAACATATTTAGTAGGAGTGATTCGGAACATCTGATAGCAGTTATTGATTATTCAGTAACGTACTGAATCATTAAGTCACTAACTTATAATCAGGTTTGCTTTCAGAACCATTCAAAGTTTAAGTAACTATTGATCCTTCCATGCTCTCTGATTAAAATTTAAAGTGAAAAATGTAAGAGTTGCAATATTTTTAAGATTGAACTTTTTAAACATCAGATTAATGTTATAAAGAAAGTAACATATGTACTGTTAGGAGAAATAAAAATTACCTACAGACATACTGTAACTCTGAATTAATGGTTCCTGAATGAAGGAAAATATGTTTTTAAGCTGTGCCTTTACAAAGATAGTTTTTCCATTCTTTTTTGAGTAGAAACACTTATCAATTTCACTTTTCTGAAACACTATGCACCTTCAAGGCAATTTCATTAAGAATTAAAAATGTTTTATTTCCAAAAATATAAAAAAAAACCAAACAACCCCAAAAAACTTCCTTTTGCAATAGAAAGTTTAAATATTTTAGTTCACTTTTCTGAAACACTATGCACCTTCAAGGCAATTTCATTAAGAATTAAAAATGTTTTATCTCCAAAAATATAAAAAAAAACAACCCCAAAAAACTTCCTTTTGCACTAGAAAGTTTAAATATTTTATCCCTGCTAGATGTAATATAAATATTACAACTAAAAAAGCAATATTTAAACTTTCTATTTCATTACTTTAGCTTTTAAGATTTTTTCATCCTGTTGTTCAGATAGGCTCTGATACAGGAATTGGAATATCACTACAGAGAGCAGAAGATGGTTATAGAAACTGCAACCAATTTACTTCCCCAAAGGTTAGATTAGATCATGTCAATGATCTGACTGAGGAATATCTGTGGGCTGCACTGGTCAATCTCACTAGGTTTGTATAACTTTTGTAACAACCCTAAAAGAAGAAGTATATCAGCTACACTCAGTTCACATGGATATTTTAGTCTTTAGGTCTTTCTGATTCACAAAAGTGAACAAAGCAGTAAATAAAACTGTGACTTATAAACATAAGTTCCCTAATTACAACCACTCATACCTTCTGCTTTTGCATTAACATATCATAATCAATAGAATTGACTTTTGTTCCATAAAACCATTTGTTTTGGTTTTCTTTGCTATCTCATACACTGAGAAGTAAACTTCCAATGCATTAAGAAATTTCAGATAACTGGCTCTGTCAATACAGATGAAGGATGAGGAAAGAGTAGGAGAGTAATACATTTTTCACAAAGTATTGGATCCCATGAACAAGTTAATGATGTTTTAAAGTGAGAAAATGTGAGGACCAAAAGTTTTCAAGTTACTGAGTGATAATAATGGGGCTATCTATTGTGCATCCATCACCTTGCAGTACCTGACATGTATTTTGGACTGTTTTCCTGCATTTTCTTTATGATGATTAATAGTGGCATTGTACCCTCTGAAATAGCAGCCCATCATGAGAAAGGTGTACTAAATTAAATTCAGATGATAACTATTTTGATCTCAAACACATGTGGAGCATAATATTGAAAGATTAGAACAAAAAAAAAAAACCAACAAAACCCCAAAAAACAACAAAACAAAACAAAAAAAACCCCACCAAAGCATGTAAGAAACACTCATGTCTAAAATGAGGATCCATAACAAACAAATAGCAGAGAAAAAGGAGCAGGAGCATAATACTCTGCTTAAACATCTGCACTTCTCTGAAGCATTCATTATTCTGATCTCTTTTCCCCACTCTACATTTACATTAGAAAATGGTGAGGTTTAAGATGTATTCTGTTACACTTTAAAGGAGAAAGACAGGAACTATACTAGATAAGTAAACTTCTGTAAAAAGGAATAAATAAAAGAAGTTGTGTACCACTTGCCCACCTTTCATCTCTTGAACATGCTGCTGTGGTCTGGTTTGTCTCTAACAGACATCAGAAGCCCACAGAGGTTGTTGTAACTTTTTATTTTCTTCTGGGATTTCAAACATTTTGGCTAAAGCACCTCTTCTCTTTTGTTTTTGGTGGATGGAGAAGCAAAATTAGAACAGAGACATTCCACCAGTGCATTTTGGTCTGGTGAGGCTGGAGGCAAGACTTCCAAGCTCCCTAAGGTGACCAAAGCAACATGAGGACTTCTCATTTCAAGTGTGCTTGTGCTGACATATTTTAGCCTGATGCTTAGAAGAGTGAAGGCAGATACCATGGTTCAGCAAACAAGCTCTAACCCAAATTTTCTCTTTTCAGTGTTGGAATTTAGCAGGGGAATTTTAAAGGTGAGCCCTTTGTTCTGACTCAACAAGAAAAAGCAAGGAGGGAAAAAAAAATCCCTGCCCCCATCAGAAAAGCAAGTATAGTGACT